AAAGAAAAACCTAAATTGATAAGGAAAAGTATTTTACCAACTCAACAAATCAATCAATTCATTTAGTCCAACTAGTACTACCCAACTAATAAGTCATTGTATCATAATATTGATACAAGGACGAGTTCTTTGCAAGTAACTAATAGGAGATGTTCATTTGATGAGTTTATGGATAAAATTGATAGATAAAAGCCCAAATGTGATGTTTTGAATTAAAAATAGAAAAATATAATAAGCCTTTGAAGGCTTAAAGAGTGGGTATAAATAAATGAGAGATAATGTGGTAATTGAATAAACATAACAAGTGTAAATAGAAAAAAAATATTTGAAATTAAGAGTGAAAAAACTAACATGAGAAGAGAAGAGAAGGGGATGAAAAGGAAGAGAAAAGAAGGAAAGATAAGGGAAATATAAGAGAGTTGGAGGAAATAAGTATAAAGGTAAGATTATATATAAATGTGTCTTCTATAAGCTTTAAGTTTCAGTTTTGCTGAATGTTAGGGTTTTAAAGATTGTGTTTTGGGTTGATTGATGAATTAATTTGAATGTTATAGGTTGACTATTGTGGGTAATGGATTGTTTAGTTAATTATGAAAATTTATAGGTAAAAATGATTATTTTAAGTTTTGATTTGTGTAAATGGTGAATTTTGAGTTGGGAATCTTGAAATAACAATAGGTTTTCCGTGAAAATTCTGGGTTTGAGGTTGAAGATGATAAAATTTTGGTTTGGTCCCTTAAGTTGTGAAAATTACAGTTAGTTCCCAAACTTTAAGAAAATTACACATTAGTCCTTGGAGCATATTCTGAGATTCTGGACAGGATAAAAATTAATTATGGGTAGAATTCTAGTATAGTTATGAATTTTTAACACTTTTAATTTGGTCCTCCCATTTAACAAAAGTTATAATTTGACCCTTAAAAATATGATAAATTCCAAATTGGTCTCTAGTTGTAATATTAGCGTTTTCATATTGGTTTGATGAATAATTAAGGGTTATTTAGTGAATTATTACCAATTTTATTATTTGTTTTATTATGGATTAGATTTCGGGAAAACTGTTTAATTTTAGGTTTTTCGGAAAATAACTCTAAAAGCATATAGTTTTATGGAATATACCCTTAGATAAGTGTATTAAATAGGTTATATGTTTTTTTAAGTCATTCTTAAATATATCTCCTTTATATTCAGATAATCTTGATATTCTATCGGTGGAACACTAGTAGAATTTCCTTTAGTATCTACTTTTGAGTGCTATTTACTTTTGAGTCAAGTGAGTGAATAATTTTTCATATGCATGAGAAATATTATAAATATTTGATTTGGATTATACTTCTTGATAATATATATATATATGGTGGAACACTAGTAGAATTTCCTTCGGTATCTGCTTTTGAGTGCTATTTACTTTTGAGTCAGGTGAGTGAATAATTTTTCATATGCATGAGAAATATTATAAATATTTGATTTAGATTATACTTCTTGATAATATATATATATATATATATATATATATATATGTTGATTATTATCCTTATTACAATAAAACATGATCAATTATTGAACCTGAATTCTTGATATAAACTAGTATATATTTTGAATTGACTTTTGAATTGATAGCTTTTCATTTGATTGATATCATGAGTTGAGTCTTGAAATATGAATATGTCTATTTGATTATGATTATGATTATGAACCTATGGTGTGTCAGTCAAAATATCCATGCTAATAGGGTAGTGTTAGTCTTTGTGCATATCGTATCTGAACCTTAGTTGCTAGGAGAGTCACCAACTTGTGTGGACTGATCATCCCATAGTACAAAGTCTTATGTTCATTGAATTTTGATTTTCTGACGAGTTTTACCTTATAATATTCTTGTTATGAACTATTTGAGAAAACTTCCTATAAGAACCTAAAACCATACTTGTATATATATTTCTCATTATTGTATTACCTCGTATATGTATATTGAAGTTATATACTCATTGAGTTGTTGAACTCACCCTCTCATTATTTATCCTTTCAGGCTTATAGCTTTCTAGTGGTTTATTTTGTTGGACCTTCAGGACCTGCTATTTTATTGAAATTTATATTTGTTCTTATATTTAGTTAGTTTTCTACAACTATAAAATTGTATTTAATTCTTATATTAAGACAATTAAATTATATTATAAAATTTATTTTGTTATTAGAGCTACCTTGAACTCTAATTTAGTTATTTAAAATATAAATTTGTATATAAATTTAGATTTATATAAATATAAAATTTTAATAATTTTTTTTATTTATATATTCATTATGAATCTGAGATTCGAGCTACGATACCAAAAAGTGACACTAAAAGATGGCTTGAAATGGCAAACGCGCACTGGTCCTTCAGAGGGCCACGGATTTTGATTCAGGTACCCGATTACCTCAAATCACAAAGCTTACGTAGAGGCACATACTTATTTTTAACCGCCTTTCATTACTCCTATTTCGGAAATTTGACTTTTTTTCTAACTATCTTTAGCTTTTATCTCAACATTAATTTCAGACTCTAATCATTTATATACTATGTAGCCCGTGATTTTGTTGCAGAAACATTGCTGTACCATATTCCAACACAGCGTTTTGAGGAATTAACGGGGCTGAAAAATCCCAGTTTAAAAATATATTATTTTACAATTCCAATATCATCCTTCACGGATTTAAGAAACATAAAGGGAGGTAGCCAAGATACGTTAGAACTTTAATTACTTGAGCTAAATTAGAGTCCCTAGAGACTTCAATATTTCTACTCCGAGCACTCTAAAACTGGACGACACCCTTAAAACCTTTTATGTGAAAGAAGCCCTCGAACATATTAGATTATTGATATCATAGACTAGGATAAAATATTAGATTGCTTTGAAAGTAAGAGCAATTATGTAAAGAGGACAGTACAATAAAAATACCACAAAACTGACAGCCTGATAACATTAAACAATGATCAAACAGAAAAGTAAACATGTTCTGAGACCTATCGGCCTTTAAGATCAGAAATTGTCACATTGTTAATGGAATTTATCTTTTGGCTCTGAGTAATGGCCTCTGTACCCAAGGAAGTCTGCCTTTCAACAAATGCTGGTTTCTTTGGAGTAGGAAGATCCACAATTTCACTATTTAGCATGGAAATGATAGTTGACACGGCCGGTCTATCTTTTGCCAATTCCTGCACACACAACAGACCAATATGTATGCATCGGAATATCTCTACCAGAAAACATGGATTTGATATTGCAGGATCGACCAAAGCTGCAATGTCACTTTCATTCCACAGTTTCCAAGCCTGAAAATATAAAAATCCATCCAAGTAAGAGTTTGCAAGTTTAATAGTATCAGCAATTGAAAGGAGCTTTGCAGATATATCTCAGGCAGGGAGGCGGACAAACATACAAATCCTATAAGACTCAGAGCATGCTCATCGCTATAAAAATGAGCGTTCTTTCTTCCGCTCACAATCTCCAGCAACAACACTCCAAAGCTAAACACATCTGATTTCTCTGAAAATCTTCCTTCCATTAAATATTCAGGGGACATAAAGCCACTGCATAAGCACAACAGTTTTCTGAGATCAAATTAGAGAAACAGTAATAGGAGTGAAAATGGAAAAAAAAAAAAGAAGAAGAAGAAGAAGAAAAACACTAGTTACAAGGTTCCAACAACCCTGGTAGTATTCACTTCATTGCCGCCAGAAATCCTGGCTATTCCGAAGTCTGAAATTTTTGGATTCAGCTCGTGGTCCAATAAGATGTTACTTGGCTTCAGATCTCTATGAATAATTCTTAGTCTAGAATCTCTGTGAAGGTAAAGAAGACCTCGACAAATTCCATTAATAATGTTGAAGCGTCTATTCCAATCTAATTGTCCTTTCCTGAGTGAATCTAAACAAATTGTATCCAGAAAAAATCATGAGAAAACAAGGTCAAAAGAAAATGAGTCAAGAAAAGTAGCAATCTGCTTCTCCTGCTCGAAACTAATGATCCGTGAAAATGAAAATGAGTCAAGAAAAGTAGTAGCTAAACAAAAAAGAGCTGTAGCCCTAACCAAAGAGAAATGCATCCAAGCTTTTATTCGGCATGTACTCATAAACCAACATCATCTCTTCTCCTTCAACACAGCAACCAAGAAGTCTCACAAGATTCCTGTGTTGGAGTTTAGAAATCACCGCGACTTCATTCATAAACTCCTCCAGCCCTTGACCAGATGTTCTAGAAAGTCTTTTCACAGCTATTTCCTGCCCATCTGGCAATTTTCCCTAACATGTCACATCAAACCGATCAATACCTATTTGCTCTAACTAACTATAAAGCACCTTTATTTCCAGAAGAATTACCCTGTATACTGCACCAAAGCCGCCCTGCCCAAGCTTCTTGGATATGTCAAAGTTGTTTGTAGCAGTTTCAAGAATTTGTAATTTGAAGAGTGGTTCCAGTTTAACTTCCCTGACGTTTTCTGGCAAGTTTCCATCAAAAACTGTTTCTCAGTTTAACTTCCCTGACGTTTTCGGGCAAGTTTCCATCAAAAACTGTTTCTTGTGCTTCTCTTGTTTTGAACGATAAGGTCTCCTCACATGTCAACGTCCTTTCTGAATTCAAGTGGAAGTATCGTTATTATTTGTGAATTGTGTTTTTCTTTACTTGTAAAAATTGTAAAGTTCAGAAGTCCAGTAAGCTAATAAGACGTAGCATATTACCTCTATGTGTAGCCATCCATTTCCAAGAAAAAAACGCACAGATGAAGATGGCAATGGCTCCTACAATCACTGACATACTGATGATTACTTTCATGTTTCTCTTGTTACCTGCATCTAAAAAATTGTACTGACGGTTATTTTGCAAAAATGCAATGGAAATATGAAAAAAAAATTATCAATATTTTCTCATAATGATACAACACTTCATGTATCTACACGAGTTATGCACACCTGATAAACGAAACACTAGTGAATGAAAATCTGAAAATATTATAATAATTACCAAGTTCTGTATACGCCAGGCGAATGTTGAGATCTGTCCCTCCTTCAGAGAACTTTTGTATATCAATCAAGTTTCCTGTCCATGCCATACACCCAAAATCTTTATAATATGAATAAGCGACACAGGAACAATTCTTCAAGCACTCATCTTTGCATTCTTGAACGGAGTACAGATATGGCCTGTAATCGGCAAAGGTTGGCACCTTCATCATCTCTAGCTTCATAAAGCCATCTTGTTTTCCCACTTCACTACCATTCTGTATTCTATCACACCGCAACGATGTCATCCTAACACAACCGCTAGTCCAAATTCCTTTCTTCCATTCATCTTGTTTTTTTGGAACAAACCCTTTTAAACATGTGCAGATAGGTGAATTCTGTGCATCGCAGCTTCCAAATGGCCCGCACTTGCCATAAATATCACACTCAATTGATGGAACTTCCAAGTTACACTCCCAAACTTGCTTCCCATAATCCCAGTATTGTTCTCTAAATTTTCCATGAGAAGTCAAAACATGGGTTAAACGGTAAGCTGGGTCTTGAATTGAACTCAGAGTGAAAGTGCCATCTCCGTCATCTTGCAGAGTAAATCCCCTTAGATACACAGAAGTATACATTCCTGGTATTCCAATAAAATTCTGACCACACCATGGACCACTACGCCAAAATGGATGACCATTGTACCACATGAAGAGCTCAGGAATTCCTAATGGATTGATACCAGCAGAGAAGTTTCCAACAGAAGGATCAGATGAGCTTCTCCATGACATTAGCAGTGTCTTGTTCCCAGTTCTTGCGTTAGCACTAAATCTCATCTTTGGTAAGTAGGTATCCGTAGGCTGCTGGAAACTTTGCCATACATGGTTTCCATTCGGTCCAGCTTTCAAGACAAGGTTTCCATCATCAGTAAGCTGCGCAGTTGACTGATTGAACCCAATTGAAACATTTGATGACCACAGAACCTCTCCCTGACCATTCAAAACCACAAGATTTCCATCTTCAGATATTGTCAGCATCCCAGAAGAATCGTTGATTGGGTTGTTTCTGTTGGCCACCCATAGTACTGGAGTTGCTACTGATAAATTACTATACCATATTCCTACATATCGATATGTTGAATTAACTGGGCTGAAAAATCCCAGTTTGAACCTATTGCCGGCAGAGACTATAGCTTCTGGATCTTTGATTGGTTGAGAAGCAGTTATGGTGTCTCCCGCATCACCATAAACTAGACAGGAACATGATAGAAACAGAAGAAGAGCTACTGCAACTTCGCAGTTGCCAAGTCCCATACTTGTTATTGATGAGAATGGAAGATTTACAAATGGCTTATTGACTGTTCAGAGAAAGAATGCCACGAAGAAGAATATTTCGCTTCCTGTCCTTTCAATTCCAACCTAAAGTTATTTTTCAAATATAAACTAAGTTTAGCAATTGTTAAGTCAGAAATTCTAATGTTTTCTGTAAATTTCCATCTATAAAGACTGTTTAACCAAACTGTTATATTACATAAGCAGGGTTATGTTTTACTTTGAGATTTTGACCCTCTCGTGCTAAAACAGTGATATTTCATCAGGATGAACCTGGTCGACTAGCTTGCGAGATCGATAGAGTTTTTATTTTTATAGGATATTATCACAAAACATACACTTGCCTCACCACGATTGACATGTTCCTGTTAGGCGCTATCAAGAAGATCTTGACATTCTTATTTTAAAGTAGATTTATTCTTACTTGGTCTATTTTGAATTTGCCTGCAATATTCATGTGGGCGATGCTTAAATTTATACTCTAAACCATCAACTGATAAAGGCAGGTAAGTTTCTAAGAAGTCTGAAGAGCCTGACCGGTCTAAAGACGTTGCTGTATCATCACATTGATAACGAGGACTTCAGATTTCAGCCAATTACTGTAAAGCAATCTTTTGACTTTTTTCCTGCGTCAAAAGCTAAAAACCTTTGACTTCTTTGAAAATAGGGCTTCCCTTAAAAATTCAGGGGAGACATAAACCACAGCATAAGATCCACAGCTTTTCAGCTCGAACCATTGATGCTTGAATACAGTAAAAAATTGGAAAGAAAAGTCTACTTGCAACCCTAGTAGCATTCACTTGATCTTCTCTGCCACCAAAGATCTTGACCATTCCGATGTCTGAAATTTTTAGATTCATCCGGCCATCCAACAAGATGGTTATTTGCAGGCTTCATATCCCTATGAATAATTCTTTAGTCTAGAATCTCTATGAAGGTAAACAGTGTTAGGAGATCCAAACATTCAAACACACATAAGTTTACGTGGTTCGGCAACTTGCCTACTTCACGGAGCTACTGGTTTGTATTAATCAAGCTCAAAAGCAATACAAACAACAAAACAAGGAGGAGGAGAAAACTTCTCAACTCAACTCAACTCTCACCCTTAGCTCTCTCTCTGTGTTTCTCTCTATCTCGTGGTGCACATCAGCTATCAATGGCACTCTCTATTTATAGCTGATGTGGGAGACAAGTTTCTTCTTTAGCCAACAATGGTGGGCAACAATTTCTTTGGTTAGGCACCCACCATGCAACCACCATTGACTTTAGCCATGTCTAACATGGCTGCCACCAACCATGTTGTGTCCACACCCAACAATCTCCCACTTGGACACAAATGGCGCTAGATCTGTCTTTTAATCTTTAAAACCAACTGAAGCTTTACACAGCTTCAGTTTATCAAGTGTGACTCCTTTGGTTAACATGTCAGCTGGATTCTTGCTTCCACAGATCTTTTCAAGTAACAGTTGTTCATCGTCGAGCAGTTGCCGGATGAAGTGATATTTGATCTGTATGTGCTTTGTTCTGGAGTGAAATGCTGGATTCTTGGCAAGGAAAATTGCACTCTGACTGTCACTATACAAAGTACCCTTTCCATGCATTTTGCCCAATTCTTGCAGGAAACTCTGTAGCCATACTATCTCTTTTGCGGACTCTGAAACTGCAACATATTCAGCTTCTGTCGTTGAAAGAGCAACTATCTTTTGCAAGGTAGAACTCCAAGAAACAGCAGTGCCTCCTAGAGTGTATATATAACCTGTAGTACTCTTTCTGCTATCAACATCTCCTGCTAGATCAGCATCTACAAAGCCTTCAAGTTTCAAACCGCCAGCTATGAAAATAAGACATGTCTCCGATGAGCCTTTTAAGTACCTCATGATCCATTTCACTGCCTCCCAATGCTGCTTTCCAGGATTGCTCATATATCGGCTTACAACTCCCACTACATGGGCAATATCTGGTCTAGTACAGACCATGGCATACATCAAAGAGCCGATAGCTGAGGCGTATGGAATCTGGTCCATGTATCCACGTTCTAGCTCAGTTTTTGGTGACTGGTCTTTACTGAGCTTGAAATGATTCCCCAGAGGTGTACATACTGGCTTAGCATTATCCATACTAAACCTGCTAAGAACCTTCTTGACATACTCTGCCTGTGAAAGCTTTAGTATGCCTTTGTCTTTGTCTCTGATGATTCTCATGCCAAGTATTTGTTTAGCAGCTCCCAGATCCTTCATTTCAAACTGTTTTGACAACTGTTGCTTTAGCTTGTCAATCTCTTCCATGCTGGAACCTGCAATTAACATATCATCCACATATAGCAGTAGAATGATATAGGAGTTGTCAAAATGTTTGACATAGCAACAATGATCAGCCTGACATTTTGTGTATCCCGTATTACACATGAAGTTATCAAACTTCTTGTACCACTGTCTTGGAGCTTGCTTCAAACCATATAGGCTCTTCTTTAGTTTGCAAACTTGACTCTCCTTTCCTGGTATTGCAAACCCCTCTGGTTGTTGCATGTAAATTTCTTCCTCCAATTCTCCATGAAGAAATGCTGTTTTTACATCTAATTGTTCAAGATGTAAATTTTCTGCAGCTACTATCCCCAGAACAACTCTGATCGTTGTAAGCTTCACAACTGGAGAAAATATCTCAGAATAGTTGATCCCCTTCTTTTGCTGAAACCCTTTTACAACAAGTCTTGCTTTGAACCGTTTGCTTCCGTCATGCTCGGTCTTTACTCTGTAGACCCACTTGTTTTGCAAGGCCTTCTTTCCTTCAGGCAGTTTGGTTAACTCCCAAGTCTTGTTCTTCAGCAATGACTCCATCTCGTCCTTCATGGCTAACTCCCACTTGCTCGAGTTTCCATCTTGTAAGGATTCTTCATAATTTAATGGTTCACCACCATCGGTCAGCAAGATATAATTCAGTAGAAGTGTGAACCGTTGTGGAGGCTTTATAGTCCTTGAAGACCTGCGAACAGCTGGTTCACTTGGCTCTGCACTATCTTGTGTAGAAGTGGTGGGTACTGAAATGCTTGAACTGTCTTGTATGAACTCTTGAGTGGTAACATCAGGAAGCCCTTCTAATTGTATGAATTCAGATTTCTGTGGACTCGTATCTGAATCAATTATCTCTAGTTCTGTACTTGATTTGTCTTTGTACAAAACTTTCTCGTTGAAGATCATGTTCCTGCTTCTGATAATCTTCCTGTTTTGATCATCCCAGAACCGAAATCCAAATTCTTCATCTCCATAGCCAATAAAGAAACATTTCTTTGATTTGGCATCCAGCTTGTTGCGAGCATCAGAGTCTACATGCACATAGGAAACACACCCAAAGACTTTTAGGTGAGCAAGCTGTACTTCTTTTCCTCTCCAGACTTCCTCGGGCAGTTTGAACTCCAAAGGTACTGATGGTCCACGGTTGATCAAGTAAACTGCAGTATGAACTGCATCAGCCCAGAATGTTTGAGGTAGCCCAGAATGCAACCTCATGCTTCTAGCTCGTTCATTGATGGTCCGGTTCATCCGTTCAGCAATACCATTCTGTTGTGGTGTGCCTGGAACTGTCTTTTCCATTCTGATACCGTTGACAGCGCAATACTCCTTGAAACCTCCATCAATGTATTCTCCTCCATTATCAGATCGTAAGCATTTCAGCTTCAAACCTGATTCAGTCTCAACCATAGCCTTCCATTTCTTGAATGTGTCAACCACATCAGATTTATTTTTCAGAAAGTAGACCCATACCTTTCTGCTAAAGTCATCAATAAAAGTGATATAGTACCGAGAACCGCCAAGAGATGCTACTGGAGCTGGTCCCCATAAATCTGTGTGCACCAGTTCTAGTTTTCTTGGTCTTAAGGTCCTGCCAACCTTTAAGAAACTGAGCTTCTTCTATTTTCCGAGAACACAGCTTTCACAAATGTCTAGATCAACATTTTTTAATTCTGGCAGCTTTCCCTTTGACTGAAGTATCTTCATCCCCTTTTGACTCATATGGCCGAGTCTGTAATGCCATAGTTGTGCCTGATTTTCTGCTTCAGTAGAGGCAATTATATCTGTTGATCTTGTGGTCATATACAGAGTGCCAGTTTTGTTTCCACGAGCCAAAACCATTGCTCCCTTTGATACCTTCCACATTCCTCCACAAAAAAGGATTGAATGACCACTATCATCAAGTTGTCCGACCGAGATCAGCTTCTTCTTTAGTCCAGGAACATGCCTTACATTTTGCAAGTTCCATATAGATCCATTCATTGTCTTGATTTGCACATCTCCTATACCCACAATCTCCAATGGTTGTCCATCGGCCAGATAGACTACCCCGTGATCTCCAGCAATATAGTTTTGCATCATTTCATGGTATGGTGTACAGTGAAATGAAGCTCCAGAATCAAGAACCCAATCATCAATAGGACTATGTACAGCAAGAATCAAAGCATCTTGTACCTCGTCTGTAGTGGCGTTTGCAGAATCAGCTTCAGGTTTCTTTGGTTTTGTGCAACTCCTCATAAAATGGCCAGGTTTGCCACAATTCCAACATTCAACCTGCTTCCTGGGTCCAAACTTGCTTTTGCTTCTGTACCTGGATTTTGATCTGCCTCTCGATAAGCCTCTGTCTTGTCTCCTTCCTCGAGTGTTGATGTTGAAAGCTGAACCTGAACTTGAGCTTTCACCCGAGTCTTTTCTTCGTACTTCTTCAGCTAAAATCAGGTCTCGGATATCATCATACTTTAATTTGGATTTTCCAGCTGAGTTGCTTACGGCTATTCTCATACCTTCCCAACTACTTGGAAGTGAAGCTAGCAAAATAAGTGCTTGGATCTCATCATCAAACTCAATTTCAATGGATGATAATTGATTTGTAATGGTGT